AATACTTAAACTATAAAGCTCTAGGAAACTCTCTTTATAAAGATTACTCCTTTAAGCTAGTTTAATAAAACTATATCCTTAAAAGACTAATTTTAAACTAAAAGAAGAAAATATAGAATAAAAGTAAAGCTCTATATTTTATAATTATTAAGAAAGCTGAAGATATAGCTCTAAATACTTCTAAGATTATTCTAATCTCTATAGCTATATTAATCTCTCTTATTACTAATATATAAGCTCCTAAGATCCCTAAGATTTCTATAAGTACTATTAGAAATCTCTCTTCTTATAGACTAGCTATAGTAGTTTAATCTAGGATCTAGATTCTAATAATTCTAATTCTAAATCTCTAGCTTATATAAGAGAATAGGGATATAATTATAATTAATATACTAAATATCCTTTTATTTCTAGCTAATAACTTTTATATAGAATATCTCTTTATAATTATAGAATATCTTCTATCTAATATTTTCTACTCTGAACTATATATCTTATCTTAGAGAGCTCCTTTAGCTAGTTTAAGCTTCTATATATTACTAAAGACTACTTAGAAGTTTAATAATCTAGCTAAGCTAGCTATATAGTTTAGTTTAAACTTTTAAATCTCTATCTAGTTTAAAACTAATAAATAAAATAGAAAGAAGAAGAATTAAACTAGATATATTTTATACTAATTACTATATAAGTAAAAAGAACTATAAAATTATTCTTAATACTAGATATATAGTAAGAACTAACTTAGTACTAATTATAGATTTATACTATATAAAAGCTCTACTTAATAGAACTATAGAATACTCTATTTATAATATCTTTATATTTATTTACTTTTAGAGTACTAGAGGAGATACTTTAAATACTATTATTTATATCTATATAAATAGAAACCTTAACTTAATATTAATTAACTTACTTCTTTATAGGAATATTATAAGAGTAAAGATTAATAAGTATATTATTATTTATATTTATTAATATCCTAGGAAAAATAAAATATTTAATATTTTTAAGAGTTTTATTCTCCTACCTAATACTATTATTATTAGGAATTAGAATATTAGAAATTATTAATAAAAGTCTAAATTATAAAATCTAGAAAGAAAAGAAAGAATTATAATCTTTTTTAAAAAATAGAATCTATAGCTTCTTAATACTTTTAGTATTTCTATATATAATAAGGATTATATTCTTAATCTAACTATATTTAATATCTTATTAGTAAATATAGAAGTTATAGGATATATATATACTAACTTAGATTATAAAATACTTTTTATTATTTTTCCTACTATTTATTAAAAACTACTTTTATTAATATACTATTTTCCTATAGAGAAGGAAGAAGAATATATTAAAAGAGTAATTAAACTAGTTATTTATTTACTAGGGGAGATTAAGAATAAAATAGATCTAAATTCCTTTATAGAGATATTTTTCTTTATCTTTATATAGTTTCTAAAAGTTACTAGGAGAAAGAGAAGAAAAGATAGTAGGTTAGTATATTATTAGAATAAGAACTATAAGTATACTATAAAACTATATTATTATTATTAGACTTAAGATCTAGATAGAGAAAATATAATAAAGTAGAAGAAAACTCTATATTATATAATTAAGAAAATTAAATAAAATTTTAATTATAATATTCTATAAGAAGTAAAAAACTTAAAAAATATCTATAGAATTATAAACTAGTATAAACTCTTTTCTTAGTTTTAATTCTTATTATTAAAAATTAATAGGAGATTAATTTAGAATTTAAAAGAGAAAGAGAAAATATTATAAATAATACTTCTAGACTAATCTAACTACTTATAGGATTTTAATCTAAATAACTCTTTCTTTTATTTATAATATAATATTCCCTAGGATAAGAAGTATCTCTTAGAAAAAATTAAATAGATACTTCTTAATATAAATAATACCTTACTAGGTTAAAATAGAATTACTATATATATACTAAAGATTATTTAGCTAAATATTTATTATACTATCTAATATTTCTATTAGAAATATATTAAACTTAGATATTATTTATTACTTTTTAAGATTATAAAGATAATAATAATTCCTAAATTTAATAAAAACTAAAAAATTCTAAAAAGCTAGAGATCTATTTCTTTTCTATTCTATTTAGAAAAAGAACTAAAAAGACTAATTATAAAGTAAATAGTTTATCTTACTATTAAGTATAAGATTATTCTACTCTAAATAGTTAGTACTCTTTCTAAGAGATTAATAAATAATATAGTTCTTTTAATAGCTTATATAGTAGAGAATACTCTTAATAGAGAACTAGTTATTTCTATAGCTATAATAGATATTAAAAGAGTTTTTAATACTATTTTACTCTATAGATTATACTATATTATAACTACTTAGAGCTAAAAGTAAAATATCTATAACTAAGCTTTTAGCTTTTATTTTAATAGATTAGTAAAAATAAGAATAGAGAGTATTATAATAGATACTATTTCTATTTATAATAACTCTTTATAAGAATTACTTATCTTACTAATTCTCTATTTTCTTTATATAGCTATAATTAAAATTAATAAGAATATATATCTCTTTAGATATATAAATAACTATCTTCTTATAGTAGTAAGTAAGACTTTAGAAAAGATCTTTATAAAGCTCTAGGAGTAATTTATAAAGCTAGTTAAATATAATAACTCTATTAGTATTAAATTTAATTCTAATAAAACTAAAATTATATACTTTACTAGAGCTTAGAAATCTTATTTTCTAAGTATTACTTATAATAATTTTATTATTAAACCTAAGAAATTAACTTAATAACTAGGAATCTAGTTTAATTATAAGTTTAACTTTTATTTCTATATTAATAAGAAAGTAGATAATATAAAGAAGATAATTAACTATATTAAAACTCTAAATAAGATTATATATAGTACCTCCCTAGATACTATATAAAAGATAATATATTTAATTATTCTTTTAAAAGCTCTTTTTAAAACTAAAATTTAGTATTTAGAAAAGTAGAGAATAACTAAAAGAAAGAATTTTAAAAGAAACTAAATATTAAGATAAACTAAACTTATTAGTAAGTAGAAGAAAATCTAAAGAGTTCTTAATATTATAATAAGAGGCTATTTATCTATCTAGAGTATCTCTCTAAATTATACTCTCTATAGAGAAATTAGTATTCTACTAGTTAGAATTCTTCTTAAAAGAGCTTAGTAATATTATATTATCTAGTTAAACTAGTTTAACTCTAAATACCTATTAGTCTACTAGCTAGAGGATAGAAGAGATATTTATAGCTAAAGCTATTTATATATCCCTATAAATCTTATAATTATTATAATACTTATTAAGATACTTCCTTATCTATTATTATAACCCTTAATCTATTTAGATAAGCTCCTATTATTCTATAAAGATAAAAAGATTACTATTAAAGAATTTATATATTAGATCTCTTTTTAAACTCTATCTAATATTACTATATATATTAATAGCTCTAGATTCTTAGGAATAGATCTAGAAGATTATATAGATATTAGGTTTAATTATACTATCTTTAAAAGTTAGAATCTTATCTACTTAGGGTACTAAATATTATATAAAGTAGAAGTATTTAATATAGAAATTAAAGAAACTATAAAAAAACTATTTAAAGCTATTAAACTTTTTTTATTCTTCTATATTATATTATATCTTAATAACTTAATTATAGTTTACTATCTATATAATACCCTAGCTATTTTTTTATAATCTATCTTTTATAGGTTTAAACTAATTATACTTTTTTATTTAGTAAATATTAAAGTTTATTAGATATTAAGATATTTTAGTATTTTAAGTAATAAGATTATTAATAATCTAATAAAGATAAAAATAAATCTTATTTCTTTTTATTATCTAGCTCTAACTATAAGCTATATAAAGTATAAAGTTAAAATATAATATAAAAAGAAATAAATAAGATAATAAAAGCTAAATTAATCTAAAAGCTATTTATATCTAGATCTTTATATTAATTTTAAAAGTAATAAAAAGCTTAAGCTATTTAGATTTCTTCTTTATTATTTACTAATAACTAGAACTCTTTATAGTAATTTTACTAATTACTATAAATAATAAAAGTATTAAAATATATAGCTTAAGTATATCTATAGTAAATAAAAGATCTTAATATATATTTTCTACTATAAGCTAATTAGAATACCCTGGAAAAGTAGTACTCTTAGTATAAATATAGCTTTTAACTATAGTTAATAGATATTTATAAAAAGAGCTTAAGAATTAGATTACTTCTACCTAGGGTAATTTCTACCTAAGGAAATATAGCCCTCTCTCTTTCTCTATTTCTCTCTTCTTCTTTTTTCTCTTTTTTCTCTTTTTTCTCTCTCTCTATTATATATTTCCTCTATTTTAGCTAATATTATAGGAATATCTACCTAGTATAATCTTTAGGGAGGGCTAGATATACTCTCTCGGTCTGAATATAGTAAGGATAAGAATAGCTATACCTTTCCTATATTTAAAACCCTAACTACTCTTTTCTATCTTTATATTTAGCAGTAAATAGCCCTAGATAGATATCCTTTACCCTAATAAGGGATTTACTAATATTAAATAATAATAATAATAATAATAATAATAACTAGTTGCCGGGCTTTACTGATATATTAAAAATTACTACAGTACGTTTGAAACCTTGTTATTGCTGATACTATGAAGTTTTCCTCCTGGGTATAGTGTTAATTTGCAATGGCTGGCCAGCGTGTGTACAGTTGCGACGAGCGATTACTGCACACCTCACCGACCTGTCCTCTCTTATGATCAAGGATTCCCTGGCATTTCACATTACTCTCATCAAGGCCACATCCGCATATACTTGTTTTATATTGTAACCTCGGCCAGTTCTTAGCCCCCTTTTGATGATATGAAAGAAAACAGACGAAGAGTTCCATGATCGAGGAGAAGATCTGGAAAGCAAAACCATCAGTAATAGATGAGCCCTAATGATGAATCGTAATATACCATGGAAAGAAGTCCCACCAAAACATAAGAAGCTCTCTATCTTGCTAACCTCTCGCGTGCCGGAAGCATCTCAGACCGAGATAAGAGATAATAACACCCACGTATGCTAAATCATAATAACGCATCATCTTCCCATGTTTAGCGCCGATTTTCCAACTGCGAACTCTTATGCATCCATGCCATCACCACCTTCGTCGCTCGCACTAAGACCCCCCTAGGAACTATCGTTCCACTTGCCACCGTTGTCACTCCCATTGTCGCCGTTGCTACTTCCACTGTCACTGTTGCCGCCGCGATGATCACTGCTCTCGTTCCCACTGTTTTCGCTATCGCTTCTACTGTCATCGCCGTCCCACCCCACTGGGAGGTTCCTGCCCACAAGACATAGATTTGTGTTGGTGGGTAAGACGCCGTGAAAGCAAGGTCTTGTCCTTAGAAACACGGGATTTGACCTCTGGGCCAGTCTCTGCCTGGAGATGGACCCCGGTGAGGACCGGTCTCGTAGATACTGAGGACCGTTGGAATTGCCGTCGCTCAACTGAAGCGCATGACCATCAAAATCCGATGGCTGGCACGTTCAACGTTCGGCTGTCCGACGAAACATAACGGGCCAGATCAAGATCTTCAGATTTAATTGACCAGATTGTCCGTTGGACGAAAATGGGCTGAACGGTTTGTATCAGGCTTGGTTGTCTGATGAAGTAAGACGGATGAACGATCTAGAACGCTCGGCTCGGGGGACGTTTGTGAGGATACTGTTCGAATCGTAGTTTGTTTTCTTTCTTTCTTTAATATTTAGTTGCATAAGCTATTAGCAATTAGCCCTAATCTGGTCCTGGAAATAGATCTGAGATAATTCATAGAAAGATCATATGCAAGGAACGTTTCATAGACCGGTGGCGATTTGCATTTATTTGAAGCAATTGCCGTAGATCTACAAAGCGGAATACGATCCGCAATTTTCCCATCAATCAAATACTGCTAAGTGATCCGGAAATCTAGCCCCTCATCGTCGATGGCAGTGAGATGAGGATGTGACCCTGGAATACCCACATAGAGTTACCATTTGTGGTTTTCGGGGCACTGATGTCCGGCTACATTCAGCCGCGGTCGGAAGACTTCCCAAAATCCAAAACGGCTTTGGTTTGCACCAATGAAAAGGCTCATGACGGTCTCGCAGGTTGAAAATAGCGGACGGTCGTGGGCGGTTTCCAAGGGAGACGCTCGTTTGATGCCACTGTTCTTTAAACCCACGGACTCCCCTGTGAAGGAGGAATATTTTTTTCTGTTCTCTTGTCATATATTATTTTATTCTTTGATACAAGCATTGTTCCCACCATGCGAATCAGCTCATTTCTCTGTGTTCTGACGGCCGCCCTGGCCCAGGCACTACCCACAAAGATTGGATCAAAGGCCGAACTACCGGCCTATTTTATTCTTACAGGAGATTCCACGACAGCCAGTGGAGGCGGCTGGGGCGATGGCTTCCTAAGCTATGCCCAGAATTCAGCTTCCGGCATAAACCACGCCAAGAACGGTGCCACAACTGTATCATTTAAGTCAGATGGATACTGGGCAAAGGCCATTCAGTCTATCAAGGACAAGAAGGCTAGTTATCGGCCAATTGTGACCATTCAATTTGGACACAATGACCAAAAGGCAGAAAAGGGCATTTCTGTCGAGCAATTTACAACCAATCTGAAGACGATGGCCAACGAAGTTATCTCTGCGGGCGGCACTCCAGTAAGAGTCAAGATTTCCAAGCACATCCGTATGATAAAGCATGTTAACTATTTCATCAGATCATTGTTACCTCTCTAAGCCGCCGCACATTCAGCAATGGAAAGGTCGTTGAGAATCTGGCCGAGCACTCCGCTGCGGCGATCTCAGCTGCCAACTCCCTCGGTATCAAATATCTGCCCCTGAATCGGGCAAGTACCGATTATTTGAATGCCATCGGCCAGACAAATGCAGACAAGTACAACATGGAAGATGGGGATAGAACACATCTCAACTCGGCTGGAAAGATCGTGTTTGGCCGCATGGTCGCCGATCTTCTTGATGTAGCTCGACCTGATTTGAAGACTTACTTGAAAGACAACAAAGCGCTCAGTGATAAGATTGCGAAGGGCGAATTTGCTACGGGCTCGGAATAGTTTTAGTCTGGACTAGAACGAGGAGAATGAAGTGTATGTTTTTAGCTCACTAAAGTTGATCAAGGATTTGGTTTGCTATTGCATGACGTGCTTGAGCAATTTGTGAGTTGATTTTAGTCGCTTCAGAATCGGTGTCCTCTCTCCTATTTTTCCTCCCTAAAGGCAAGTAAGTAGAGTGTGCACAGGTCAGAGGGAAACTAATTTTGAATATTAAAGCCATTGCCGTGGCCGATTTTGATAAACCTATGAACTGAAAGATTTGGGTATCCTATCTATGAAATGATTCTATCTATCCCACCCAAAGTGATTGCGCATTCTAGATGTCTATCTGAGCAAACGCATAAAAAAATACAACAAAGAAAACGAAAAATGAAAACGAGCAAGAAACGAGCCAACCCAACCAGGAACCTCCGTCTATAATTAGCATGTGATGGTACAAAAGGATTCAAAAAAGAAAAAGAGAAAAGAGAGAGTTGTTTCTAGTGATCTGCGACATCCTCGTCGCGCCCAGGATACATGATATCCTGAATGTAAACAGCCCTAATGAGCCAGACGAAAACGCCGATGAAAACAGTAATGACAATAATGCTCATTGCAGTTGCAACCCATAAGATTGCCTCAGATTGGAATTCTTTGCCAATAGAGATAGTCGCGAGAGTGAACCCGGTGTTGGGAAATACCATTGCCCAAGTGCCAAGGTGGAAGTATTTTGGCGGGGATGCAATGATGGAGATAGTGGCGATGCAGAACCACCAAAGACTGATCGTCCACATAAAGACGGCGGCCAGCAAGGCCACAGTTCGAATGGTGTCAACATGTGTCGATATACTATCGGTGCTGGTGAGGTTCTGGGGGATCTTGTTTGCCAGGCCAATGAGGGCAAGGGCCGTGAAAGCTGGTGGCCCAACACACATGAACAGCGCTGGTCGATGCTCCCTGTTCGGGAGGCCAGACTCCATCAGTCTCCCGATCATGTGTGCGTACATCATGAAGGACACAGAGAAGCCCAAACCCTGGCAAGTCAACCCAGCCGTGATGATAGCCATGGGTGAGATGTTATCCTGGGCATCCAGAATCACGGTAGCAATCGTGCCAGTCAGCATGACTGGGAAGATGGGCAAGATCCAGCTTGGCATCATAGACTGCAGTTTGAAGCTATGGCTATCAAACAGATATGTGTATTGTCCAACCGCGAGTATAAAAGTGAAGGTCAAGTAGACCCAAAAGATAGCCTTCGTCGCCCACACAGTTGGGACATTGTTTTCCGGTATTGCGTATCGCTGTGTGGTTGTAATGATGGTTGCGATAGCGAGGAAGAATGTGGGGAAGAATAAGCCCTCACGAGCATGCAAAATGGACTTTGTTAGGGTTCCAGGATGTAGAATGAACCGTGTGACAAGACCAAGACATATGGATGTGAATATGAAAAGGTTTAGCGCATACAAGACCATTCCAATGGTTCTGAGACCCTGGAACTGGTGTGGTTGCATGTAGATGAGGAGAGATATACCACCACAACTCATGGGGAAAGTAAACCATGCCCATGTAAAATGGAGCATCCGTTCACGGATTGAGATCAAGTGCCGCCTGTGGACCTCATTGTTGATAGATTCGTCTGGGGTATCTAGGCCCGGCTTGGAGACGATCGGTCGTAGCACGATGCGTTGAAGGTCGATGTCTCTTTGCTTGCTGCTCTTGTCACCCGGGCGAGAAAGCAGATGTAGGCAATGGAGATTATCTGTCGAGTTTTGTCGGGTCGGTGCCGTGGAGTTTTGCGCGGTCGTCGTGGTCGAGGAGAAACCGGGGTAATCTGGACGCTCCATGTTGAACTATTAAATAATTGTTTAGGGAAATATCACTGTGAGAAGTCATTTGAATGATTGTATATTGTTAGCCAGCGTACTTCTATTACCTTCGACGGGATCGGTATCCCCTTATATCCCCAAGGAAACTCAGGGGAGCACAGCCATACAGCTCAGGTCTCGTAAACACGTTTGCTAACAGGTGATTGACCGGCTAGCTAGGAACCCAATCAGGCCCAATAGCGGAGCCGCGCAAGGTCATCCCTTGCCACAGGCGTGGGAATCATGGTAAACCAGGTATGAAAACGAAACAAGTAGATGGTCCGCCATTCGGTCCTTGTGGCTCGAGCGTATCGCCTCGTCTAGGGTTTCACTCAGGCCAGTGGGCAGCTTCCAGGGGAGTGATTCCAGTATCTGATCCTGTATCGTCCGAAGGAGAAAAAGAAGCAATGGGATGTCTACCCAGATCCAGGGGACCCTTGCTGATCTGTTGTATAACTTGAGCCAAGTCCAATGAGTGCCGCTTTGCTAACGTGATCCGACGGCGCGGGCGATGACCCGGAGCGGCGGTACCAGGATATAAGATTCGGCCATATCCACTGCCAAGTCCAGGAGGGTGTGGTCGATAAACGAATGCACAAGGGGGTGTGGGAATGCCACCGACAATCTACGATCTGTGGGAAGACGCATCAAGTGATGAGCCCATCGAAAGAGCCCAGCACGCAGCCTCTGAGAGTAGCAGTAGCAGTGAGTATGTCCATCTCCCTCAATCTCAAGATCCATTAGTTTATTTTGACATTATTCATCCATCTCTTCGTGCTACGTAATTAGGTTGGGCTGCAACAATGGTAATCTCCAAGCAGCTTCAAGCCCCTGCCCCTTGTTAGATAAGCACTCGACAATCAAGTCATAAACCCTGAAGCTCCCTGCTATTTTAGGCCCAAGCACGTATTAATGTGTGTTTTCTTATCATTCTGAAAATTGTGAAATATTTTCTTCCACTTATCAAGCGATTAGGCCCGAGTTGAAAGAAAACGTGGTCGGGATGGACAGGGGGGACCGCCGCCAACGACAAATACGGACCAGGCAATAAACTTCGATGATTCATGCACAGCCCACCATGGACCGGGCAATGACTGAATTTTTCTGGCGGTTTCAGCCGACGTCTCAACGATCCTGTGAAACCTCTTCTCCTTCCCTGTGAAGAGTGAAAGGTTCCATTTGCACCATTCCTTTGACCTCTTGCATGGACCCTAACGCGGGCCGCCGCCAATACCGCAATTAGCTTGGCCATGATTGAAGATCACACTTTAAGCCAACTGATGATCACTTGGAACACAATACGATGGGCCAGGCCTTGGGCGTACGCGTCCGAGACGACGGCCAGACACATCTCTCGATTCAACATCCCACTCTCACCACGCCAAGAAAAAGCACCTGGTTGTGTGAGTAAGACGAGAAAAGGTGTGATTAGGCTCAGGCCGGTGACAGGTCAGGACGAGAAGCCTGGCCCACCGGGAGAATTCGGAAACCTGTCCTACGAAGTTTTATAGTGGGACGTTGTGGCTCGAACAAGGCGCGGCTCTGAGCCAAGGACAGGGGCGCCGGGGGGTACAGCCTGGTTCCGTGATTGACACCTTGCTTTGCCACATGCATGAACACCAATGATTCATGTTTGAGGGACCTCCCGTTGATAGCGGGTTTGGACAGTGACATTCAAAGGCCAATGTCATCCACAAATACGGGCGGATGGTACTCATTCTCTGGACTGCAATTTCTAACAATTGCGACTGTCCAGCACTGTAGAGTAGCAACATTGAGATCGGCAATGTAGCGGGTTTAATTATATCCCCTGAAGTACGGTGGCTACAGCGTCGTCGCGTCGGCGTACGAAGCCAAACGCCAGTCTTTCCCTCTTGGGGGATCGTGAGTTTAAGATATAGCTTCACTGCCAGGCCAACTGCAAACCATCACTGCTTTATCAAAACCAAGTAAAATAAGATGTTTAAACGAAGGATATCTTCTCCTAGGTAGTAACGAGGTGTTGCACAATTCACCAATACCTGCCTTTCGAGGACCATGCCTTTAGATCAAACAAAACTCTCCTCAATCCTTGCCCAATGAATCACCAATGACTTTTATAGCGGGACATGTAGCGTTCAAAGAGATGCCTGATCATTTCTGAGGCTCTTGCGTCAATGTATGATGTGACTTCGATAATTCTCGTCGTTTCTATGTCACATGACGCATCAGTGCCCTTGCCCTGGTCCAGATTCTTTTCAACACTCTGATCACAATCCAAGTAGGCAGGGGTGTATGAACATCAAAATTCTAATTGTACTCTAAACTGACACGGTATCTTATTAGACGTATAACTCCAACGCTAACAAAAACTCGAAAGAAAAGAAAATCTATATCAAGACCGTCGTGTTCACGTATTTATCACTCTCAATCGCTCCATTTGCCTATCTCCTTCCATTGTGATGCTGGTATGATGCTGGTAGGAAGCTTTCCAACCCAAGTGTCGAGGTATCTGTTTATGAAGCCCTGCCATTACCCGGCGCTGCTTGTTCGCTAGTTGTGTTATTCTGTGCCGTCGGGGTAGAAAGGGGCGAGGATGGGTTGGTAGCGGGTGCAGGCTGGTTTTCGGGTGTGGTAGAGTTGTTCGGCGGTGGTGCGTAAGCCGGCGGTTCGTCCTGTGGCTTAGCCAGACTAGAGCTTGCTGTGGATTGCGAGTCCGCGGTCGCCGCGGAGTTGTTTTCTTCTCGCTGGTATACCGGCAGAGTGTCAGTTCGTCCCCGATCTGCCAGCGCTATCGTTGTCGGCTGGGTGGTCGACGCGGTTGGCTTAGCATAATACTTGCGCCTTACGAGCCCAACGGTGACGACGAGGAGGGCTACGACAGCCAGCGGGATGGCGATGATTCCTCCGACCGGGAAATAGTAGGGGCGGTCGTCATCCCTAGGCAGTATCAACGGTTGTTCGCTTGTTGGCGCTGGTGCGGCTGGGGCAGCGATGACCAATGCTGGGAGCAGGCTGAGTAGCTTGAATGATGAGTGCATTCGGCTGTTCATGTCGATACTTTGTATGGAAGTTGTCGGTAGAATGTAGATAGGAGCTGGTTGAGAAGACTGGAGATGATAGTTGACTTGAGAGTTGGCATGAGAGTTGGGTATGGTCGTGGAATCAAGACCGGCCAGGAAGTATTTAACTCAGGATGGGATTCTCCCATCCTGAGAATGTCAGCTTGGTCATTTGGATTATTATTAGCATAGCCACACAAAAGCGTACCGAGCCATCGAGTGTGGCCATGCCTAGCGCATCGCGGAGCGTATAGCGTATTGCTTATCGCGTATGAGATGCGCTCACTTCGAGCCCAAAAAAAAATGAAAAAGAATTCTAGCATATAAACGGAAACTGGAACTTAAATTTAATTTCAAACTAATTCCAAGTTCTCACATACTTGTTTTAGCCAATCGTTGAGTCAAACTTGTACGGTCAGTTGTTCCCTACTTTACGTCGGCTCAACAACTGGGTCATGGTGTTGAGATGTCAGGCTCTGGCATATTCCATTGCTGTTGAATTTTGTAGTCAACTTCTCCTACGCCAAACCGGGATTCATTTTTTTTCTAATATGAGATGCTTCTTTTATTCTTGACCTGAGGAGAGCTAAACATCGTGAAATATCCTACAGTGATACCGCCATCTTAATACAAAGGGCTCACATACAATGAACCACAACCAAGGCATTATTCGTTATAAAAACAACCATCTTGAACGAGTCTATTCATCCAAATATACCCCTATATGAATTCACCCATCGATCACCTCGATGACGCCGTTGGTGTAGGGAAGCTCGCTGTGCTCTACATAGCACGTTTTCGGGGTAAACCACCAATGCAAGATCCCCGACCATGCAAAAGGTTTCCAGGAAAGAGAGCTCGTGTCGGGAGATACAATATCAATCCCACTGACATATGTGCGGCTGGAGGATTTCACCATTCCTAGGTAAAGACCCGAGGATTTCACCACACGAATACATTGGCTGGCAGCGTCTAGTCGGAAATCCCCGACTGCGGCTTCATCTCCATTTTCATATCGGAAAAGCATCCCAGATATCCATTTACGAGAAGAAGTCTCTAACCGGCAAACGGCAATTTCCTTGACATCTTCAAGAGAAGCTGACGAATGGAAGGAGGCGAGCTTGACAAATGGAGATGCCGCCGTTGTGTGCGTAGGCAACGGCTTCTTCGGATGTTTTGAGCGCATCGGTCCTGCGATACATGCAACTGCTTGACCATCAGCATGAGGACCGTCGAGCCACAGCCGATCGGGGTCGGTTGTTGAAAGCTGAGCAATGCACGTCCAAGGGCTGCTTGAATCGGTAAAATCCAGGGTCTTAAATGGACCAGCGGCCAATATACGGCCCATTGACGTCTTCAACTGCGTTTTTGTTAGTAATTCTTCAAGATGTATGCACGGAATATGGAATATCTCACCGCGAGCGTAACATCGAAAGAGTAGTTGCCGTGCCTGCTCCATACTTGATCGACTCTCTCTCCTGGCTTCATTGGCATATAGGTCCAGACCAAGTCCCCACCACGGTTTGCAGTCTTTTGGTAGAAACTTAGATCCTCTGCGGGTTTATGGGCGTGCAGGTGCAGTAGGCCAGCGCCGCGCTTAGAGTTTTTGGGTACGATCCAACATGCAGTGTATCCTGTACAATGAGGCTCATTGATGGTAAATGGGAGGAATCTCGGAACTCCCAGTCGCGAGTTTAGCCGCATCAGGGACAAGACTGCTAGCTCAGAGCGCGGCAGAGGTTCTGACCACGAATAGTTGGTGGGTATATGCCAGAGTTTGGTATCACGCTCAGGTGACGACACTATGAGCTGCTGCAATTTGGTTCCCTGGATAATATATGTTAGATAATAAACGAAATGTGTTCCACAATTCTGTAGGCAAGGTTCTATAACTTACGTCGGAAGAGAATACGAACTCGTCATCCGTGTCTTCGGCCGGGTGAATCCGCCACCACACAGACCGGTCTGATGAGTTGCAGACTACCGGAAGAGTGTTGGATATGTGCACCTTCCGTATTCCCAAATGATCTTCCATGATATAGAAACTAATATTTTCGCGTTTTGGGCCGGCTTCAAAGATCTGTTCGGCGTCTGGGCTTGGATCATGCGAGAGGCTTGACACATATGCAACGCCGTCGATCCAGACATGTGTTGCCCAGATATCTTCTGAGAGAACCACCGTTGACTCTCCCCGGTAAGGTGCCGTCCATGATGACGTGATTGCGTACTCAGGGGAGAGATATGCTGCTATCATTCGCCAAATCTCACTAGGAAGATTGCCCTCGCGGCCAATTGTATTTCGAAGAAGGTCGCAGAGCATGTCGGTGGAAACTCGAAGGCGACGCTCTTCCTCAGACGCAGGAGGGTCATACCAGTATATGCTGGTGCTGTACAGTCTGTGCATAGGTGATCTCACGGACGGAATTCTCTCGGGAAAGACAGACTTGAAGATCCCAGTGCTTTGTAAAAGTCCCTTCACACTGAAACGATGTATGTTTGTCCTGGCCGGCTGCCTTGCACCGTATAGTCTCTCCAGGTTGTTTTTCGTTGATGCTTCTATAAGATCGATCCCGGATGGTTTTCTATTCTTGTCCACCAGCTCAGTATAGGGCCACAAAGGTATGCCGGATCGAAACTCCAATGAAGGCTCCAGCTTGGCCAAAAATGCCAGACATCTGCTGTGACACCCAATTGCAGGTTCATGGCGACCCATGTCCTCAAATGGTGCTAAGCAGCAGTGAATTTTCCTCCCCCATTTCCTGTCGACGTGAGAAGCGCCATAGCGATACTTGAATGAGGCAGTCTGATAATTATCCACGGACACTAAAATCAACGTCAGCGGCCAACATATGATAGCGAGGAGTGGTGTCATTTGGTATTGTTGTGGCTGGAGGCAGACGTACCTACGACAGCGTCGTCACCCTCCTCAACCTTGTAGCGGCAGAGTCTGCAGCGAGGGAAAAAATACAAGACTCGTGGTCTAGGCATATCCCCAGATAGTATGTGGAAACTGTCTGATCTAATCCTTTGGGAACATGGCAGTTGGTGAAGCACATACCAGTGTCCGACTTCTTAAGGTCGAAAATCGCGAGGTCCGACACTGGGCCTATCTACCTGCTATCTAATTCCCGACGTGCACAGCGGCTGAGATCGGCTTCATGCATCTGGTGACTGCTTTGAGTCATACAGCGCTTAACTCAGTGAGATCAGCAGGCTGACAGGCATTGCAAGACAAGTGGCCGTCAGACAGACAGGGACTGCTAAAAGCCACTGTGGCAGCCTGTCACACAGTAATACTTCCTATTATGCAATAGAAAGCAAATAATATTGCCCGATATTTGCCCAATAATTCATTATTATTATCCATTCTCGACTATCGTCAATCGCCATTTCCCACTGCCAACCTACGCTCATCACACAGCATGGTGGTGGCTTACAAGAGTTGTGGCTGAGTAGAGAATGCCTGGGAGCCGCCGCCTCTGCCCAGAATCAGCCCTAGCGTCTCACTCTACCCGGTTAATTTTCTCGCATTCATTCCACGGGCCGGGCAGGCTCTACAAGCCTCACCATCATCTCTCCTGATGACTGGTTGGCATTGTCCAATGTGGACCTTAGTGTAAGCATTCAAAACCGAGTTAGGAATTCTTCTTGATAATTATCTAGTACAAGTCGAGTTTCAACTAATCTCCTATATGATATATAAGGCGTCTTAACCTACGACTCAAGTAAAACTTACAGGATAATGGTAACATTGTCTGCTTAACAGTGCAGCTCGAGACTACAATTTTGTAAGTAGTTGTCTTGATAACGGCGTCCTTCGAGATTGCATCATCAATACTCAGTCCATGAAGTTATGATCTCATGACCGAGCTCAAGGGGGCTTTTGTGTAAGCCACACGTACCTCTCTAGGGTAGGCTACTTTTAGGTTGACAGATGCTCATCCAGCTGCTTAAGACAAGGTACCACGGGCTGAGATCAATAGATTAGAATGTTTGAATAGGTCCCGATAGCAGTATCTGATTTGCTTCAATTGACGGTGATTGGACACTAGGATTGCATAGTGAATGGCCAGTCTTTGTCTGTGGAGGACACTGCTTGTACCCATTCTCTTCCACTTCTACCAATAGCTGGCTTTTGGCACAGGGCTGGAACAAAGATTCTGGTTTCTCGAAATTGCCCTTGTTGTGCGTCGTTAGATTTCTACAAAGGACTCAGACGCTGAGTAGAGGACCCGATACTACTCGACAAATGATTCACTGAACTCCGGATCAGCCCCCAATCTCTGTTCCTCAATTCACAACTTCCAATCAGCGCAAGATCTGTCTGTGAATGAAGTTTGTGAGTCGTATAAAATCAGGTATAAAATTCCTCTTGGTGTTTGGTCTCGTCCAAGATGCAAGAACGTTTGGTTTTGCAGACAAAACTGCCCTCATCTCAAAGTAAGTTGGAAAGTGATAACATCGCAGCCTAAGGCCATGTGAAATTGCATGATCTTCAATGAACTCATTTTTCAAACAGAGAATCTTCCGATAACAACCATCAAACGCCATACCCGGCTCTAGCTCTCGGGGAAGCAGCCCTGGAATCATGCCGCGAGGTAAACCAAATTGTTTGAAGTGCTTTGGACGAGGGTTTGTCAATGAGCCCTGTCGGTTTTGGCAATCAAGGGTGTGTTCTAATCCGAGACCTCACTGCACACCATCTGGCCATACAGCATTTTGCCAGAACTTTTTCATACATTCAGGAAGGATGACTCGCAGCTGCTATTGTCCTAATTGCGATGGATCAGGTATGATCCACGAGTGGGTTAGTACCACTTACGAACGGGATTGTAGTTGCATCAACAGCTAGAATCTTTAGGCTAGGAGAGAGATCCTTTGACTTAATCAAGGGAAATCCGACGATTCATACTCCGCGACAATTTGTCTCTAGTTATAGCAAAGCTCGCCGTGACTCTAGTCGTCCCGTAATTGAGCTAAAAAGGCCATCGTGTGAGAGTGATCTTGACATATTGCCTGCTGTGCGAGGCATGAAAGCAAAAAAGCTGGCATAGTACCGAAATGCTAGAAGGAAACATTCCATATACGGTCTGGCCACCTGGCATAATTGTAAATATCTTGCTCGACTGAACCTCAGTGAGTTTTAACAGCCTAATTCGTACGGCTTGGCGTCTTCGGATACCAAGTCCCATCTGTCTCGTTCAAATGAAAGATCTAGGTTGATCCTCCATAGAATTCCTCTCAACTCTTAATTCAGCTAGAGAGAGGAACGAATGGTTTGAGCCTCATGCGCCTAAGTCTAGTGGGACGCCCAAGACCTCTAAGAATATAGATTTGTTGCGTGTGAGAAATCACGAATTCTCAATTTAAGCGCGGTAGGCAGATACCACCATCTCTACTGAGCCGACTTGTATGGATTTTATAAACAGGTTGAAATCATCTTACTCACCATGCAGATGGGCTTCCCCGCTTCCCCCGCAATGGGCACGAGGCCAACTGTACGAGCCGGGGAAACCTTCCCGTTTAATTGAAGCTGTGCTTGTATCCACCCATCAGAGAGTCCGAGATAGGAATCAAACATTTTTATTTTCTATCATGATAACTTATCTTACTCGAAATCACAAGAACCAAGTTAATCAGCAAACATGTTCCGTGTACGGAAGTCGAAGGGATCAACCGATATGGTGCCCAAGACATTCTGCTAATTGAAGATGCTTCATCTTAGTTTTAGATCTTACTCTGGACATAATCCTGGTACATACTACAGCCTTAGGGAGATTTAACAAGTCAAGTGACTAAATAAAATAAGGCAAACTAAACCCTTGAGGGTCGAACTTCGACACAATATCACAATCATTACCCAGCAATAAACAAGATACTTAGCTGGATATTGTAGAAAAATAAATCGTTTTGTTGCTATTACATCTAGCACGAGGTCTCCAGCTTGCATGAAAAGAGCCCTGGCGTGCTACATGTTATCTCAGTTGCTTGCCAGTCGACATAAAAAATCAGCTTGACAAGAACCTACATTGTGATTTACACATATACTCTGTGTACCAATGTATCAGTCAATCTTTTTAGGAATGCAGCTATGTGCATTTACTAACTCGTGTCTTCATTATCTTGTTGACATTGACAACTAATCCACCCATGAAATTAGTGGGAGTTCTAGAGAAGCCGATGCATCTGGAGGTCCGTTTGTTGTAGGAGTCGGAGTTTTATAAGATTGGCTAGTTCATTGAGGCTGGATATTTGCAGCCTCTATATCGACGACTAAGAGACCGAGTGGCATGGCGGTCTAGGGACTCAGCCCATTAGGTGAAGATAGTTCTTCTAATCAAGCTGGACCCTGCATCACCTGGAGAAATAAGAATTGAAAATGGCAAGAAATACCGCTCAAGGATCGAGCTGGCGCCACAACCACACGAGGCTCTGGAGCTCTTAGGCCGAACGTGATGTAAGGTATCAATATCCGGAGGATAAATGATACAGCGCAGACGAGTAGATCAAGATCAACAGGTGGGCCGCTACAACACCGGCAAGTGAAGCCGACAATATGTCAACGTCGGCCCGGTCTCAACTATCTAATGCGGGAGCCAGTTACAGGGCAAGGAGGCAGGCTTATCCCCGCTCTCTCGGCGATTTTGGTTATGATATCCGTGACTACTGAGTTATTGACCAGTCTTGTAGGAACCTCGTTCTACTGGCTCCCATGTCACGCCAAGTCGCTAAAGAGTCAGCAGTATTAGATAGGCAGGTAGATCCGACCATAGTGTAGGCTTACATCAGGTACGATATCGGCATCTAGTGCCGTTTTTCCTTGTAAGCATACGGCAGCACTACATAAGCAGCAACCCCTCATCTCTGACAGCGAGGCTGCAGTAGTTAGCGAGCTTGCTTTTACGTATTTGAAACCCGGTTTCTCTTCTCTGTTTTACCCCGCATTGTTGCAACCAGCCACTGCATTCCATTATGCGTTTATCAAGGACCATTAACATCGTCGGGTGTCATGCCGAAGGAGAGATCGGCGATGTGGTCGTTGGCGGTGTCCTCGATGTCCCCGGCAAAACGATGTTTGATAAGATGATGCATTTCTGGACCAAGGGCGACCACCTGCGCCAGCTGCTGTTAAATGAGCCCCACGGAAAACCTTCAAGAAATGTCAACATTGTGCTCCCCCCTTGTGACCCCAGGGCAGACGCTGGATTCCTCATCATGGAAAGTGAGGAGTATGCTCCAATGTCGGGCTCCAACGCGATTTGCACGGCAACAGTACTGCTGGAGACGGGTATGGTCAAGATGCAGGAGCCTACTACTATCTTGAATCTTGATACAGCTGCAGGGCTCGTCACGGTGACGGCCGATTGCGAGGGTGGCAAGTGCAAGGCTGTCTCTTTTGATAACGTCCCGTCGTTTGTGTTTGAACTTGATTTCGAGGTCGACGTCCCAGGATTAGGAAAGATTCTCGTCGATATTGCCTGGGGTGGTATGCTTTATGCTCTTGTTGACATCCGGCAGACAGGGCTGAAGATAGATTCTGCCAACGGTAAACAGATTGTCGAGTACGGGGAAAAGATCAAGCGGGCTGTTCAGGCTGTGACCGATCCTGTGCACCCCGAGAACCCCGGGATTCATGGAGTCACGAACTTTGTGTTTACTGAACCTGTTGAAGATGACGGTCCCTCTGGGAAGAAGGCGGTCAATACTGTTGTCGTGTCTCCTGGGCGCCTTGATCGAAGTCCATGCGGAACGGGCTCTTGCGCTAGAATGGCTGTTTTACATGCACGCGGTCAACTCGCCGAAGGAGAGAACTTCCGTCACATCGGGATCACAGGCACGGAATTTCAGTGCAAAATCAGAGGGACAACCAAGGTTGGAGACTATCCCGCTGTCTTACCCACCGTGAAGGGCAGGGCTTGGATTACCGGGATAAACCAAGTGATGCTAGATTCTAGTGATCCTTTCCCTGAGGGTTTCCGAGTGGGAGACCTATGGGTTTCATCTACTTGATTATAGAAATTGTCTGTGTCGATCGTCTTATTGAAGTTGAATAGAATAAAACACCATGCCAATAATTTTTTATAAAGACAGGCTTTATTTGGAAGATCAGAAACGTGATCAAGGTCAGGAACTCACAACCTAAAACGCTACATAATTGCATTGATCGTTTAGAAAATTTCGCGATGGCCGGGGGGGGAATCATCAGCTATAGAAGTAGAACTGCAGCATGGAATAGTAAGCACACTTTAACTAAGAAAGTCACTTTTAGGAGTATCTTACTTGTCCTCCCCTCCCCTTGTAGCATATTGGAGATATTTAAACTCTGGTCATACATTTGTTAGACGTGTCCAGTCCTAGGAATAACAAGCTTCAAGGAGGATACATGAGTCAATCTGACATGCTAGGATCTGCGACACGAAGGGTTACATACATCTGCCAAGATGTGCCTCGATTGGCTAGGAAGGTCGATATTCAACAACACATGGTCGATTCTCGCAAAGGTGTCTCGATCTGGCCTCGGAGCGAGTAGCTAGAGGGGTTTCAAATCACAAATTGTGCTCAAAATTGCGCAGGCTTCACTCCATCAATAAGCGATGAGATACACCGGTTGTTTAAATCGACTGGCTTTCCATTGCTCAACTACCAGTAACCATCAACTGAAGTTATTTGCCCTTTATTCTTACATTCTCCAATACTCGACAACAAACATACAGCATGCTTCTCAGCTTATTGCTTCCTACTGCTCTAGCAGGGATAGTTTTTCTCCCGTTGGCCGCAGCCGAAGTATTGAAACGAAACGGCAAGGACTGCTCATAGCTGAGTGAAGTTTAGTGTGACTAACAGCAGTAGTAGAAACAACACCCATTAACTACGGTGTCGTTGTCATGCCCGGCGCTGCCTTGATGGATGTTTACGGCCCGCTTGAAGTGCTCTACCTTGTCACGGGCCGTTTTCACATAAACCTCAAGATAATCAGCCCCGACGGCAAGAACGTGAAGCTTACGCCGCCTCTAGGCAACCAGTTCAACTCAACCTTTGCTCCCGAGTATGTTGCCTCGGCAAGCTTTGATGACGATATTGATCTCGACGTTCTTATTGTGCCCGGCGGCGCTGCGGCCCGGGATACTAGTCTTACTTATGTGGACGATTATCTCGTCAAAATGTATCCCAAGCTTGATTATCTGATTTCTATTTGCACGGGAGCCATCTTTCCCGCTCGCGCCGGCCTCTATAATGGTAGACGCGTGACCACGAACAAGAATGCGTGGAATCTGGTCACAGCGCATGGGAATAATGTCACCTGGGTTGCGCCAGCTCGATACGTCATCGATGGGAACATCTGGTCCTCTTCCGGGGTAGGTCTCCGCAACTGAAGATATAAATTTCAAGTATATGTTGCATAACGTGAAACTGACTTTTTTTCAAGGTTTCGGCAGGCGTTGATCTCATGCTGCATTGGGTCAAGGAATGGTATGGCGAGGCAATGTTCAACACTATCCGTATCGGTGGCGAGCACATTGTGCACGGCCAAGACGATGATCCCTTCACCGACGAGCTTGGTGTACCGCATCAGGGCCAACTGTAGAGGAGCCTTGTATTGGTTTTCCATTTTTCCCTGATGATTAGGAGAAGTGGGAAAAGTTGAGCGATTCAGGCAGTTACAAGTATTGATCCTCAGACAGCAGCGGGTGCTCAGTTGAGTCAACTTAGGGATTAAGCATGTCTCGAGCTTCCGAATGAGATCTCATGCCTAACTGTCAAGTAGGGGAAATGAAACATGGCATATTGAGATAGTTCAGTATTGAATTTCAACACAATATCAAAATAAATAAGCCAGTCTTGAACATAATATCAAGCTAAATATCATAGAATAGTTGATTATTCTTCTATTAATATGTTTAGGTATAAAATGATGCTGTAGGGGGTGAATAAGCTCGACGATGACCGTGTTCACGCCGAAGCTACACTTATTTGCAATGCGATCCAAATCGCGATGTTTGCAAACGAGGATCGCGAAAGAAATACCCGTGGTGAATATGACGGCCAGCATCGCCGGTGGCCCCTTGGTCACCACCCAGATGGCGATAGTGTCCATATCGGCGACTGGTGTGCTGATGATACTAACCTTTGTGTTCTTCTCCTCCTTTTGGAAATTTGCCGCAGAAAACTGCGAACAAATATTTTGTCAAAACGTGAGAAAGCAGGGGATCATAAGCCTCATCCAGGATATGCCCCAAAGGTCAAGCCGACAGCCAACCTGCAAAGCAAGAAGGCCAAAGACTCATTTCACAACCAGACTGCTCGGCAACACGCTGCAGCTTCTGTCTTACTAGCGGACAAACTAGATACGAAGGATCCTACCGCAACTGATCTAGATATCTTAGGTCTTTGGGATCCACTGAAACGACCTGATGGCTCCAAAGTCTTACCTGACTCTACCGAAGACGAGGACTTCGATGAGTATGAGCATATTTTGGCTGTCTCACGATTCCATGAGGCTTTGATGGAAGGCGCCAGGGAACTGGGCCACCGGCAAAGGGATGCCGACTTCATTGCACCTGAGCCTGTCGATCGAGAGACTCTCAGAGCTATCATCAATGCTCACAAACGCCACCATGGGTTCCCGGATTTCGAGAGGAGAGAGTCGCAAGTTGTTGAGTCTCGTTGGGTACCACCAGGTATTGTTGATGAAGCTGAGGTTGACCAGTTTCTCAAAGCATCAATGGCTACTGATGCCATCTCTCGTTTGCTAAAAGAGGCTCTTTCTGACGAAGAGAGAGAAAAAACTCTTACCGATACACGGAATGGTTTCATATGTGACCACTTCCAGCATGGAGCTCAATGCATAGGCGGACCGACAGTGGCTGAAGGCGTCAAGCTCCTCAGATGCACTCCTTATCCAGAGCTCAACTTGTACCTAGAGTCGCCAGTTACCCATCGCTGAGATCGTATCAAGTTCTAGATGAGTTTTCTGTTTTGACCCTTCTGACCATAACGCTATTCCAACTACGAGGAAGCTTAATGATCAAGATCTACCCATTAAGTTGTTCGTGACAATAGTGGAAGAATATGAAAGTTCCATCCCTCTTTCTTTGAACAAGAGGCTTCCCAGTTGAATGGCCACAACTTATCGAGACCATATTGGCGTCAGGTGGGCCTAGCCCCCAACCATCTTGAGTGTATTATGGTATTAGGTAAGCTTGATGATCATTGTATGACGAGGCGCCGTCTCTATGGTCTCTAAGTTGGGACTGATCTATGTGCCACTGCTATCCTTGGCCTTTAGAATGCCAGTTCGCAACTCAAACCTGAGTGTCACTCCTTCGTGACCCTACAACAACCCGTCTCAAATTATGTTCCACTGAGATCCAGCGTTAGCACACCCAAATGATCGAGCCTTCATTGGCGAGCTGCCCAATCATCAGCCTGCAGCAAGACACAAAGTCTGCGCCTAACTTGGCACCCGGGGCGATGTAGAAGTCAATACAATATCAAGCCACATATCATAGAATAATTAATTATTTCCTCATTTTTGTGTTGAGTATTGTTAATCCGAAAATTAGGTCCCAACCTAAAGTAGAAAGGGTTTTGGTGTACGAAGGTTTATTTGAGCCATTTGCCACGTGAAGAAGAGTTTTTTTTAGCTATTTGGTACATTAAACAAAGGTTGATATTTAATACTCCAAACCCCCCATTACAATGACTAGCCCTCTCAACCCAAGACCTTCTCGATTCCCCAGAAGAAATAACATTCTCGCGTAGGAACCCAAGCACATTGCGGTGATGGAGCCAAACATCGAAGAAAAGAACCTATACTTCTCTGGGCTTCCCAGCCGTTCGAGGCTAGTAGCACGCTCCAACTTCGACGTTACTTTTAAACCTGGGAATGGTGGCATCTTCTACCCCGTCGAGAAATTTCTCTCACCGGCGTTACCCAACCATCCCATAGCGAGGCTATGGGATGGCCCTTTGCGAAAGGATATTATCAATGCGCTTGATGGAATCGACTGGATATCCATCGACATAGTTCGCCTGGGCTTGCATGAGAATCCAGATCGCGGACTGCCAGAACCTGAGCAACCACACGTCCTTCTCATCTCTGTGGCTAACACGACATGGGGACAAGGTTTCCCAGCAGTCATGTCATGCCGTCGCATCATGGAGCAGTACGGGCTTGATGACATACACTGCGAGATGAAGGAAATGGTACTCGCTGACCTTTCCTGTGAGTTGGAAGGACCGGTGGCCGAACGCTCCGCCTCTGCGCCCAATGAAGCGCCCAATGAAGCACCCCCTTTGGCCCCCAGATTGACCTCACAGTCAGAAGTCTTCCCTGAGCCTGAATACTGCCCAGGCGCTCATTACCGTACCATGGCCAGTGAATGTCTTGGGGCCTCGATTGCCTTACTTGACAGTCCTACATGGGAGGGTACTAAGGGTCTTTATCTCAGACGTAAAGACGCTGGAGCAATATTGGCGCTGACTTGCCGACATATACTTTTTAAGAAAGGTTCCGAGCTGTCGAACGAGCTGTATCAACATAACCCAGATACAACGCCGCGGCTAGTCATACAACCGGGATCAGGTACCCTGAATGATATGCTCGAATTTGCCGAAACAATGTGTCGCTTTACAGAAAGGAGGCGGGCTACCGTGGAAGCCCGCGCCGATTATACAGAAGAGCGCCGAGATATTCTATTAACTGATTTGCAAAATGAACTGGCTTTAAGAAGCCAATGGAGAGACTATGTTAAGAGTATTGCTGCGCCAGAGTCTCGCATCATTGGACATGTCCTTTTTTCCCCAAAGGTCAGCCCTGGGAAATCTCCATCGGGAGAGAGTCGACTAAGGGACTGGGCTTTGATCGAGTTATACCCCAATAAACACCAAATAACGCTCTCAGACTTGAAAAACTGCGTTACTCTGACACAAGAGAAGGGATTTATGATGTGGAGTGTTGCCTACGACGTAACTCCAGGCTATCCGTGCATTCTGGGTCTCATCGAGCCGCTTTAACTAGAAAGAAACACCATGTCTGAGGCCGATATTAAGATGCTCACTACCATGGACAGCCGTAATAAGGAACCTCGGCTGGTGGTGGCAATGTACGGGAAAGCCAGCGAGCTACAAATCGGCTTCTCCAATTGTGTCCCGTCTATCTTGCGAGAGGTGATTGACGGGAAGGTAGAATATAGCGAAGTGTGGGGCATTATTGGAGAGAAGGACAACTCTTCAACTGGGCCAAAGCCTTTTTGTATGGCAGGTGATTCAGGCTCCTGTATTTGGGACATGGAGGGACGTGTTGCCGGCATTGTGGTTGGCGGGCCTGATGTTGGGTATGCCCAACCTATCGAGTGGCTTTTGGAAGACATCCGTACGCAGTCTGGCATCGATGTAGAGTTAATTTAGAAGTTATTAGATCTGAATTTTTGTTTTTCCTCTCCTCCTCTTTTGTCTCGGCGCTTATTGTTTGTTTTTTAGTCTCCGCCCTCTACACAATACACGTTTTATTGCCTCCGATCACATACTATGATGCGTCGGTGGAGCGAGCATCGAAGAGAAGAACCTGTACTGGCCTTCCCAGCCGCCCAAGACTAGTGGCACGCTCCAACTTCGACGTCACTTTCAAACCTGGGAATAGTGGCAGGTTCCTCCCGAAATGCCAGGACCTAGCAGCCACACATCCTTCTCCTGTGTCTGTGCTTAAGACGGTATGGCAGCAAGGATATCAAGCCGTCATATCGTGTCGTCGTATTCTGGAGTTTCATGGGCTTCACGATATACACTGCGAGATGAAAGAATCGGTAGTCGAACACTCTACCGCCATGTCTAATGCCGTACAATAAGCCCAGGCGGACTATATCGATGGCTGTCCAGTCGGTTCTATCAAGGGCTTGATGATATCCTTTCCTTTGGCGAAGGACCACCCCAAACGCTGCTATCGAATGGTCGGATGACGCCGAGGACAGAAATTTCTTAATGGGGGCAAGCGAGTGACATGAAGCATGGCACATCCAGAACCTCCAACACAATCAAATAAACATAATATGACAACAATCAACCTAGTAATAAGCACAATAACAAGACAAATATTATGAATAGTTGATTAGTCTCTTACTATTGTGTCATCAAATTTTAATTCATCCACTATGTTGGGGCCCTAAAAGGTGGAGCGGACGTGATGAGTGGATTCTAGCGGGTGGCACAAACTTACATGGACAAGCTCTGAGTGGAAAACAAAAATTCAAAAAGTATGTTATCAATCGTTCATATAGGAACAGCCCGATGCGGGGGTCGAACCCGCAACCTTGAGATGTGAACTCGTAAGAGTCTCACGCTCTACCGATTGAGCTAACCGGGCACCTTTCCGGGTGCTTTAATGAGGACTGAGGGAAGGTAGAGACATACAAGAATGCGGATTGGATTCCCAGGTGGTTATTTCTTGTGACTATCAACAGAAGATGGTTTATATAGAGATGAAGAAGGTCATATCTAGGGCTCTGTTGGGTTATTGAGATGTGAAAGCAAGCCTCCTAGAGAGCTCCGTCAGTTGCATCGTCTTGGTGCTCGAACGGCCTGGCTGAATTTAGCATTGCCTCGCTGTGACAGTCAGTCCGTATATTTAGAAACAATAATGAGGTGACTGAGCTATAAATACGAGACATTCCAGCCACGTGTCTGACGGTAGGCGGCCTAGGTACATGATCATGCAAGTAACCGTGGGTAGAGGATACGCTGGGGATAGCTAAGTTATTTCTGGACAATACCGCCACATCAATAGCTTTCTTACGCAGTATATACCGCAGCCTTCAATAGCTCAAAAAGAGGAGCATTGCGAGGTGGCTGCTTATCATAGCTGACACCAAGGCGGAATGAGGATGGAGTTAGCCTTCTTTGATAAAAAGGTCGCACACCAAGACGTGTTCACTCCAATAGTGGCACAAAGTGCAAGAAAGCTTTACCACAGTTTCCATCTAAGGATGCTCCTTTCAGGATGAAGGGTTTTCTACATACTGCTTACGCCATTAGGACACCCTCCTCACATTCAGCTTACGCCACCACGATGGCTCTAACTGCTGAGCTTAAAATATGATTCACATTCGCCCTAATGGTGGCATAAAGTGCAACAAAGCTTTCCCACATTTGCCATCTGATGACATTCCTACCTTTGGAGGGTGTCCTTTTTGCGTGGGGGGACTTTCTACACATTTTCCCTTACGCTATTAAATACTGTTATGAAGGCTTTAATCGTTGCAATTGGCCTATTCATAAATCGTTAGAGTATAAATACCCGGTTTTCACTGCGTTGAGTTGTTCGGGCCCTAGCAGCTTCATTGTTGTTAAAGTTTATCATTCCTATTCTCCCACGCATAAATACCCGATTGATTCCTCTATATTAGAGAATCGGCCGCTTAATAGAGCCCCGCCAAGGAGCGACCAATATGGCACCTATGAATGATCAAGAGCTCCAAATACTTAATATGGAGCCTGTTAACCCTACAAACACCCCCGTCTCACCACCTGCTACCAGTGTGATCGACCATCACGCAAACTCAGACGACCTAGTTCTGATTCACGGCCTCTCGGATACAGTTGCTACATCAGAGGACATTACCCCTGCGGACGATAATGACTCTTCAGAACAGATCTCTATTCCGAATAATTCAAATATAAGGGATAGCTGTATCGTACATCGATCGGAACAGAAAGGGATAGACACAAAAGCCGTCGGTTTCTATCCCGTATGCAAAGCGTGGGCTCTTGAAATTGCCTCTATCGTTCTCGGGATGTTAGCCTTGGTTGGTATGTATGAATTTGCACCTTGCACCTTTCCTACAGGACTACGGTGTATGAATTAACTAAATGTCTAAAGCAATAATTGTGATTCTTGCACAGTTCAATAACAGAAACCTCCCAAATTGGCCACTATCCATTACGCTGAACACTCTGGTCGCCTTCTTAGCGACGATTTCAAAAGCAGCTATTTTAGTCCCAGTATCTATGGCGTTAAGTCAGTCGCAATGGGGCTGGTTCCAACAGGAGCGGCCACTTTATGATTTCCATGTTTTCGACCAGGCCAGCAGAGGGGTCTGGGGCTCCCTCTTGTTTCTAAGACGAATTCACTTCCAGCATTTTGCTAGTATTGGGGCAGTTCTCATGGTCACGAGCCTACTGACATCCCCTATCACTCAACTTTCAATCAGCTACCCCGTTCGAAGTGTGGCTGTTCAAGGAGAAGCAAACACGGGAATTATCCAATCAATTTTCTATTCAGAAAACGGGATGAAGACGGACGATGTGTCTCGGGCGATTAATTTGGCAATATCCTTGGATACTGACGGCCACTTTTCGACTCCTAGTGGGATCAAAGGAGCTTCATGCTCCACGGGGAACTGCACATTTGAAACCTATCACTCGCTCGGTGTTTGCTTGAAAGTGGCCAATATCTCATCCGACTTGCGCATTGAGCAAGTCCAAGATAATGAACCATCGGGTATACCGTTACTCGATAAAGGCTTTGGCTACGGGCCCCTTCTAAGCCCTGGTAACAAGGTCTGGAAGGTGTCTCTTCCTGGTGGCCCGGCTCTAGCAGGCCAATATGGGTTTTCTATGTTTGTAGATGCTCTGAACGGAAATACAAGTATCGGTTTCCAAACAAGCAGTGATCTACTACGAACCAGACTTCTGTCTGTCGTACTTATCTTCACGAAGCCAATTCTGAGCAATTCGTCACTGGCGGACCCGATACCCCGAGACGTGAGAATCCTTGTTAACGCAACCATAGGTATTCAGTATGAGGCTTTGGAGTTTCTTTTCCATCTCTGCGTTCAATCATACGACACAAGTATCAATATGGGTAAGGAAAATACTAGGTTGAGGGACTCCATAGCCCAACCATTCGAACATAGACCTGGAACATTCTTAGATCTCAACTGCAGCTCAGTTCTAGATGAATTTCCTTTAGAATGTCTGTCTAGGGAGGAACGGGCGAATGAAACAATGTACTTGATGCCTCCTTATCCTAACACCGAGGGCGTCAATGCTTCTGTTGAAGATAAGACATTCGGAATTGATTACTATACCATGGAAGAAATAGCAACAGCCATGATACCTGAGTTACAAACCTATCAAGGCGTGTCTGATTCCCCTTCAGAAGATCCTATCCGTATGGGGTATGGCTACCTTTTCGGGGTTCAGCTCTTCACCAGAGCAATCTTCTCATCTGATGGGTTAAGGAATGCTTCAGAACGAGACAACCGGATCTTCAATATTTTCACAAATGTTGCTACTCTCCTTTCATCACAGTCAGTTCAACCATATCAGCCAAGGCTTCATTCATCTGTTCTTTGCTAACCGCAATGGAAATACTAGTATGCGCACTGCTCCTCCCCCTGGTTCTGACATAAGATTCATGAATTTCACCGGCCAGGCTTGGAGAGACGAATCTTATGTGCTTATCAATTGGGGCTGGATTTCATTCCTGGCTTGCGAACTCGTGATTTCAGCTAGCTTCTTGCTCCTCACCATCATGTCCCAATCGTCACAGCAACGTCGCTACTACGGAAAGAGTCCTCTGTTATACGAGGACTCTAAAGACTCATCACTTGCTACGCTTGTCGCCCTAAGTGGCCGTTGTCGTGATATGGTGGGTGGAGGGCTGAGGCCTATGAATGAGCTCGAGATTGCTACAAAAGGGCTACTGGTCAAGCTTGACGGCAACGAAGTTACTCCTGCCGAACCATGCTAAAAGGCACATATTTCGCTGCTGGGTATGGATGAAACGAGCACTTGGTATAGCTTTCAGCTATTGACAAGCCAGTAAAACTTCAGCTTATACGACACCAAGTTTCAGTCTAGTGTCAAGATTTACTGCGAATACACATGTAGCTAGCTTCCGGCCATTAATGGTGCAAGCACTCTTGAAGGCGCAATGCCGGCGTACATCTCAAAGATAGGGGAGAATAGAGATTTGTCAGTGTCTGGAGTACCGGGGAGTGAGGGCTGGTGAGAAGTAGGTTGGTGGAGAGATTTGACCAATGGTGTCGTTATCCAGGTATACGAAGCTAGATGTTGGGCGAGATTGACTGCTTCATAATGAGAAATTGATTTTGAGGGGCAGTCACTGTCATCCTTGGAAAACAAATGTATTCGAAAAATAAACCATGCTGTCTCATCCTAATCTACCAACACGTCCAAAACATTACTACCAATGTCCTCTGTTAACTATATGCAAACATGGAGTTTGTAATCCGAAATACTCTCCTGGTGTTGGCCTAAGCTTAAATTAAACGGCTGCTCTGAAATCCCTTGCTATCTCTTGCACGGCCACTGTCAACTCCCGAGGCATTGATATGAATGGACTATGGGACGAATCCAACGTCTTCACAACCCATTGCACTCCGGACCGCTCAACAAACATGTCCTGTACCTCAATCAAAAGTGCCTTGTCTTGCGAACACCGAATATAGGCCCGGCAGCCGTCGTACGCGCTGTCACGCCATCCGATGGTCGTAATGGGTGAAGTCAAGCTCTTCTTCGAATGTGGCTTCAAGGCACCTGACACTACAGCGATTTGTTTAGGGGAGCAATCATGGAAGAATGCCTCTGGGGGCGCGTTTGCCTTGACCTTGATGACTCGAGCCTCGGTCTTGGCCAGGAGAGGTGAGTACAAGTGTAGCGGAGTGAAAACGAGAAGGGCGAAACTCACATCATCTTCCATCCACCAGAGTGGGTTACCTAATAGGCCAAAAACGCTCTCTCCGTCGAACGGGACGAAAGCAGCGAGATACACAACTCCAAGAACGCCGCCCTTTTCACCGCGTGAAGCTCTATTCCTTTTTGACAAGCCATCAATAGCTGCAGACATTGGGAGGCCGGCGTATGAGTGGGCGATGACGATGACATCCTCTCCAGCATGAATCCGAGACTCGATCCTTGACCTTAGGAGTGCCTCGTCGTCGGAAATGTCCGCGTCGGCATCTCCAACACTCCGCAGTGTGACACCCTCGGCGGGAAACCCAGCTGCTTGTAGGGTTTCAATAAAAGGGTCAAGGCAGGAAGCTAGGTGCCAAGCCCCAGGAATGACAATGATAGAAGGTTGAGTATTTGCGGTCATTTTAGTGTAAGTAATCAGAGCGCCTAAATATTGCCTCGCGGAAGATAGAAATTGGTAGGGGATCGGACGACTGGGAAGCACTTTATAAAACGAATTATTCCTACCTTAGCTGGCCAGAGAAGGAGGATCCATCGTCCCTACTCGGATCTTGCTTCTCCCCAGAATCCCCCACGATTCCCCAGAAAAAAACACCAGACGGAGATCGAGGTTAGCCTCGTCCATAGTTGACCAATGAGCCATCGTCTTTGTTGAACATGGAGGCCTCACATTGGAACCGACCCGAAGCCTCGGGTCTCTACCCCATATTCAGTAGACGGCTCTGAGCCGAGCCGAGCCGAGCCTAAATGCAGCTCTCGAAGCAACCAATCAATCACAGCGCGACTGCCTTATCCTATTTCCCCTCGAGGCCAGGAGATGACGAAAATGACATTCATAGGAGGCGCAAAGTAAACTAGATCGGGGGATAAGAGGAAATGGCGGTAGGGGGTGTGTGGGTGGACTTGGGTCGAAACACTACCTACATCGTTACGAGCATAGTATTTTCTCCTTAACCCAGTGCTAGCCCTAAGATAATGATGTTACGATGTTTTAGAAAGTAATGTAAATATCATCGGCTACCTATTCTAGGCCCATCATCCGAGAGTGACTCTTGCGGTTGTCGTGTGACTAGGTTGTCTTGAGCGTGTTGGCTTCAGGGGCATCATATGGTCGACCTTTTCAACTTCAGACGTGAACAGGAGGCCGACGTGGTTGAGCTTGATCTGTGTCATGGCCATGCGAGTCTCTATCCATTGAAAAATTATAAAAAACCCCAAGTAGGGAAGACTTGCACGGCATCACTACAAAGCTCAAAAAACAGAAACGGATTCCCCAGATTTTGAACAATATTCCGAAGAAGGAAAGATGTTGCGTTATTTCTAATTAAATGGTCAATGGGTGTAGGGTAGGGAGGTTTAGGTTTATTCACGGACAAGCCTTCAAGGGGTATATAACCCTCTCACCACTACTAGGAGTACAGGTGTAGGTAGATACCCAGTAACACTAATTCGATGCAACGCCGTAAGACCGCAGGAGTTTAGGGGAATAAGGATTGTTGTCCTTGGCCAAAGAAACTCCACCGCAGACTAGGTATGTGGTGGTAAGTCTTCCTCAACTTCACTCCATGGTCTTGTTTGGTTAGAACACGCTCATATCACTGTAAGACGTATCATCGGAAGTATCTGGAGTCTTCCGAGCCCACCGCCGTGATGCGATCATTATCCCTCCGACGCTACCCTATCCTAGAAAGCTACCCGATTCAACTTCTAGCTCGAGGAGGCCTTCCCCCACGTTGGGTATTGGGTTGGTCTTACTCTCTGCCATGCACAAAACTTAGGGTACAGTCGAGCCTGAATTCAGTCATGACACGACTCACTTGGGGCAAGGTGTTCAACCACTTACCGCATTCAGGATATCCCACCTGCGGCAACGGGGTCATCATCAAGAAGAAGTGCCGCTGAGTCAGCGGGGACGAGCAGTACGGACATTTCGATCGCCAGCGATGACCCAATCACAAGCTCGTCAAATGACGGCACCTCTGCAGGACCCTGCCCACCTTTTGCAGCAAATCCTGTCCACCGACTGCCTAGTGATCTCGATATGTGTATGAACGCCATGGTAGGGCAGTTGGTGAGACCTAGCGCCTCTCGGCCTCTAAGGCAAGTGAGCATATATTAGCTGGATCAGGTTGAATAACTTCCGGGACAGGGCCTAACTAGCGAGTATCGCCTCTGATATAAACACAGAGATGAAGAGTAACCGAGACAGAACTTGTGATTGACTCTTGCCATCTATGAAAGATGGTGGATGTTTCGTTTCTTGCCCATCCCCCGGACTGTGTCAAAATCTGACAAACTCTCTCCCTCCGTTCCCCTCCCCTTCCCGAACTTGTGAGGGTCGTACAAGGTCAAACGATCTGAAGGGTGCAACTGCAGCTAAGACGTAGTTCAAGTTAGGAGCTGCAGAGCAAAGGGTTCAACAAGTCGATCTACGCACGCGTAACCACTTACTTACCCCTGGCAATCTTGCCAACAACCCGACAATTTCCCTGGTCCCCCAAGCCTTATTAAGTTCTAAGTTAGGGAGCGGAAGCTCGGAAACTCTCCGAGCTGAAACACACCCCGCATTATTACCAATGCCAGGACTCGGATACGGTCTTCTTTGTTGGCTCCATCCTTCCTTTATCCACTTCCCGCGGCACCAACCTCTTTGGCGACCAGTACTTGGCCTCGACTTCTCCTTGATCAGCTTCTCAAAACCCTTCTCATGCCCCGAAGCCTGAGATCGAGTGTTCTATTTCTTTACATAAACGAAGCTTCGGCTTGATCTCTTGGGTACTATCGACAGCGAGCAGTCTCCCATATTGTGTTCAGTGCTTTGTCAGGTTCAAGCGATGTCTCTGCCAAGGTTGGGGGTTGCTTCCAATCCGCACCGCACGCGGAATCGACGCTGCCTCTCCAAGTCTTCCAGAGCTTCTCAAGCATGCCAGGCTTGCGCCGCCTCGAAAGTCAGGTGCGACAATCTTAGGAGCTGCGCTCGCTGCCGCAAGAGACAAATCAATTGCATAAGATCTAGTTCTACTCGTCCTTCATCAATGGCAGTATCCCCAAGTGGCATGCTAAACAGTCAAATGATGCAAAGCACACTGCAGAGCTTACCAGATCAACCCGCATGGGAGTCAATGGGTTTCCAGGCGTCGGATATGGTCCCGGATATGGAAGGCATCGTGAGTCAAGACTTGGGTGTCCTTGATCTTTTGAGCGCCGTGGATGTCTACGGTGAAGGTGGAATATGGCCATCTCCTCAGCATGAGGATGGGGAAAAGGCGATTGCAGGTCTTCCCATCTCACAGGGTGAAGACCCTTCCGTCGCTTGTCCAGTTGATGTCGAGGCAATCACGGCAGCGATGAAGCACGATTTCGTCACCTTGTTTGGATCATGGAAACCGACTGGTTCCTCCTTCGTTCATCGAGGAAGGGGTGATGGTTCTCAACACAGCAAACCTCCCCAACATGTGAACGTCGATCAAAGCTCCCATAGTACGGTTGTCAGGCAGCATCTATGTGCTGACATGCGTGATCAGATGCTACTGGTTGCCACACAACTTCCTCCAGAAGAGGTCGACGTGTCCTTGGCTCGGCATTTTCCACCTCTAGATAGTCTCGATCGCCTACTTCAGCTTTTCTTCACACGACATGAAAACCAGCCAATGCCAATCATTCATGTCCCTACATTCTCTTTGTCGTCATCTAAACTCTCTCTAATAATGGCTTGCACTGCAGCCGGGGCGGCATCTTCCACCAACCCTATCGTGAGAGGCTTTGGGCTCGCTCTCATGGGAGTCGCGCAATCACATATCAGGCAATTGGTGACTTACCACTACGTCGCTGTGACCGCTGGAATGTTGCTGATTGTGCTCTCCTAGGTTTATCTTGCCGAGGATAGTAGGCACCACTTGCAGACTCTCCAGGCGCTTTACCTCTGCGTAGATGTTTACTTGTGGAGCGGAGATGAGCAAATGAGAGACAAGGCTGCAACCTATTGCAGCACACTCGTGACTGTGCGCCGCCATTTCTGTCTACTCGTTTCTCTTC